AGAGGGTGATGTGAAGGCAGGGAGAATGCCATATGACAATAAAGGCAGAGATTGCAGCTGAAAGCCAAGGAATGCCAAAGATTGCTGGCAAACCACCAGAAGCTAGCATGTGGCAAGTTAAGTTTCCCTTGCAGGTTTCAGAGAGAGAGTGCATGCATGGCTTTGCTGACACCTTGATCTTGGACTTTTAGCCTCCAGGACTGGGAAACAATAGACGTCTGTTGTTTTAAGGCACCTAGTTTATGGTGCTTCATTACGGAAGCCGTAGGAAACTAATAGAGTAAAATACGTCGTGGGGTATAGCATGCCATTGTTTTTAGTGCCTGGAATATCTTTATCACCTTTTCATGGAAGTGACAGCTGCATATGGGTGGCCACAAACTTGTGCTTTCAGAATTTCCTGTATTTTGGGAAACTGTGACCCAAATACCAGGTTAGTATTCTAACAATGTCCCTTGACATTTATTTCTAGATATTTCTTGCCAATTCTATCTTCTATTTGTTTTTAAAGGGTGCAGCCACTGTTAAGAACTACATACCAAGTTTTGTTGCTATGAATCATTTAATGCCATTGGAGACTAGGCCTAAGGAGATGGTATGTCAAATTCACTGAGGGTTTAAGCAGCTTCGCAATAGTGTTTGAAAGGAGTGTTTGGGTGGAGTCTTCTGGGATAATGAGAATCCATCATATATTATGAAAAATAACATATTTATTACTTTTCATACTCATTAGTTATTATGTAAAATCTTATGACATGAAAAATATGGTCATTAATACTTCCCTTGCTTGAATTTCGAGATATATTAATTAATTTTGATTTCCTTGGGCTATACAAGTTCAAGTAATTATTTTGGAGTAAATTTTTTTTGTATGATATTCTTACAGACAATCCCAATACCCACTGAACATTTCTTTTACGTTTATTTTTCTAAAAATACATGGACATGAACCTTAATCTGAATAGATTTCCTGTTGGAGAGTCACATTAAAAACTCATCAATAACCCAACAACTAGTTAGTAAATAGTAAATGTCATTTATCCTTTTGCTATCTTTTAATACCTGTTCCAATATCTTTTATGTAAGAGATTTCTATTTCCCTATGACTCTATTTTCCTGTCCATTGCTAGCTTTAGAAGAAAAATAACTGTATTGCAAGATTTTCTGTAACTAAACTGGAAATTTCATATATCCTTGTTCCATTGAAAACATGTTCTCGCCTACAATTATCTCTAGCTAGATATTTGATGCTGTCACACAGATGATAAATATTGAGCTAGTTTCTTCAGTTCATCTATCTTGGTGGATAGACAATTGTAAAGAATTTAGAAACACCTAAGTTGTAGAAACTATGACGTCATGTACTGTTAAGACCATTGATCTCTCCTCTCTATGTAAATAAGAAAAATAAATGCATTGAATAATGGTTCCTTTCTGTGTGTGTGTGTGTGTGTGTGTGTGTGTATGTGTGAATAACTGATGTGTATAGCTTCTCACTCACGCAAAAGTACTGAATGAAATACCCTTTTTTTAAAGAAAGGAAAGTACCAGTGATTTTGATACATTTTGAAGGTCAGTAATGTTCAGCATAGAGCAATAGGCGGAGAACAATAGCTCCTTAGAGAGTGGAAAACATGGTACTCTCATTATCCATAATCTCAGCTGGTCACCATAGTAACAGCATTTTATTTTCCAAGATGTAAGCCTTTATAGTTCTGTAGAATCCACTTCCTAGGCCTCCAGACACATCAGCGGCATCTAGTGGCTGAGACCTCGGCTGAAATGTTTGCGCTTTACCGCCTGCTATATTATGTTGGAAAACTGATGGCATGCACATATGGCTAACTATGCTGATATTTTTCAGTCGCCATGATGGGTGACTACAGTTGTTTTTCAGTGAAATATTTGTGGATTGCCTACAAAAAAGGTGAAAATGTAAGCAAAAGGAAATTATTTTACTAATACTTCTATGGTAAAGAATTTTGCGGGGGAATTGGAGAGCGTAGAGGCATGTGTATTCTCCATCCAAATACTATCCTGAGATAAGGAAATGATTGCTCAGGTAATTTATAGGACTACTTTCTGGAACCCCCAGATTTGCTAAATATTCAAAGAGTTTATTAATGAATTCTGAGGATAATTCAGTCATGTTTACCCACTTTCATTTTCTGATCACATATCTGTCCTTTACTTTGTGATTTTTAGAAACTTATGTAATAGTGGTTATTATCTTGGGTCTCTATTCCATCTTGATATATAACATATAGTTCAGAATCAACAAACCTAACTTGGATAGTGAGTAGGGAAATTCAGACATTTTATCTATGTTCAGGGAGATAGTATGGGGTACATAAAAAGCCTGCACACTGGGTTGAGACTCAGGTGTAGTCCTGCTTCTACCCAATCCTTGATGATAATGATTCTTGAGCAAAAACTACAGCTGTGGTTCTCAACCTTGGCTGCATATGAGAAGACAATGTCAGTACCCAGACTCCGTCCTGGACCAATTAAAACAGAATCTCCAGGAGAAGAGCCTGAGCATGACTTGAAAAAAAAAAAAAAATCTGAGTAACCACACCTCAAAATCTCCTGAGGAGTTCTGAAACAATATAGCATTACTGGTCTAACGTGTGACATTGACCTAGTTGTGTGAGACACAGACCATCACCATCACTTAGGAACTTGTTAGGAATTAATACACATTTAAGTTTGATAAGTAATGAAAGCCCATAGAGACTCTAATATTCAGAAAGTCTGAGGTGAGCCTGGAAATCTGTGTTTTTTAAAACTTAGATGTTTCTGTGTATGTTTAGCTTCATGTTGTAACTGAGGCTATTACCTGGAAGTTTCCAGGAAGGTTAAATAAAGACACTTAGGTAGACTGCAATGCACTGTATAAATGTTACTCATTTATTCATAAGTTAACCAGTATTTACTGAGTACCTATCATGTTCCAAGTGCTGTAACAGGGATACACAGAAGAGCTGATGTGGTTGATGTGCAGGGCTGAAATCAGTCTTGGAAGTAGGTACTTCTCAGTTCAGAAATGCTTTTCTGAAATTATTCATTTGCTTATCTTAGACATATCACAGAAATCTTAACATAAAAGAACCCAAAAGAAGTGTTTTTTAATTCATCAAATGAGAATTAAATACTTATTATGTACCCACATCTGTGTTCATCATAGTGAAATTATTTACTTATTTTTCTACAATTTTTTAATGTTTTATTTATTTCTGTAAGAGAGAGATTGCCAGGTGGGTAGTGGCAGCGAGAGAGAGGGAGACAGAGGATCTGGCGCCTGCTGTTTGCTGACACCAGACAGCCTGATGTGAGGCTTGAACTCGTGAACTGTTAGATGATGACCTGAGCCAAAGTCCGATGCTTAACCAACTAAGGCACCCAGGCACCCCTGTCTTAGTGAAATAATTTTTTAAAGGAATACACATTTCCTGCCTTTAAGAAATATACATTTTAGGTGGATTGTTACAGCACATTAAAAAAGTAACCAAAGGATAATATCAGAATAAAATTATATAGAACTAATTATACATTTTTTAGTGATATACAGTTTCGAGGAAAGTGATCAGTTTGGTTTTTTTGTGTTTTTTTTGTTTTGTTTTGTTTTTTGATATGGAGAATTGTGTGCGGGAGATTTATTGAGAAGCTCTCTTGGGAACAACATCTGTGAGAGAATGAGAAAAGCAGGACTGAGCAGAGAGAGTTACCATAATGAGATGCATTTGTATGAGATAACTCATCTCACTCCACAGGGAACTTTAACTTTGAGCCAGTCTTTCAATAATGTGGCTTCCGATTGAGGCCATGAGGCCAAGGTTTTGTTCCCCTACTTCAGCCAGTACTGGATGTAAGCTGCCTCCAGGAAGAGGGTGTAAACTTGGGTGAAGCAACCCCCTTTGGCCGAGGGCAATTCTCAGGGGAGGTCTCAACTTTGAGGCACCAGCAGCCAATACTCAAGGCAGCTAACAGAGTGAATTCTTCATATCTGAAGGGTGGAATCTGAACAGTATGAATCACTTTTATTCCAAAAGCACTGGTCTGTCTAAAAATACTAAGCATTTCTCTCAATCTAACTTTCAGACCATCTCTTACCAGACCCATTCTACATTTTAAGACTTACCTTTTGGCAATCTCTAAATGAAATCTTTTGCCCTAGCAAATTTGGCAAACTAAAATCTTCCTGGAACATGTTTCGGGCCCTCTCATGCTATGCTTTTGTTCTCTTCTGACCACTTGCCTGAAATTTCCTGGACTGTTTTTCTTTCTCTTTCTTGGCCGGCTCATTAGTTTAACAATTGTTTTAAGCATCATTTTGCTTATGAAAACATCTAAGATGGGCTTCTCAAACTTGAACGTGCATATACATCACAAGATCTGGGCATCTGCTAAAATTCAGATTCTGATTCAGTAGGTCTGGTGTGGTGTCTGAGAATCTGCACTTCTAACAAAGTAACCATGCTGGTAGTCATTGAAGAAATCTGCCTTGTCTGTACTTTGGTAGGACTTTTATCTATATCATCTTATTGCATATAACGTATCCTTTTGTAGAGTATCTTTATTTTGTACCAATATAAATTAATTTACATTTTAGCAATTGCATCTGATATTATGTATATCTCATAGCACTTAGCATAGTGCTAGTGTTTATTACGCACTCTATATATCTGTTGATTGATTTTGAAAGAAAGGACTAACAGGTAGTTAATGATTTTTCAAGGTGAGCATGTGAGTTTTCAGGGTTTTACAATGTTACACTTGCTGAATGAGAACTACTACCAATGACCTTTTCAGAATACTGGTAAAGCTATCCTGGTTCTGCTCCCGCCCCCACCCTGAGCTGACCATCTCATCAAGTCTGGAAAAAATTTGCCATGTCTTTACGAATGCTCAAGGACACAGAAAATTTTTAAAAAACTAAAGACTCAGATGTTCTCAATTTCCCATATTGTAAACCTAGCTTCTCTATTTCCTCTAGCTTCCAAGAAATGTGAAATAATACATCCAGTGATACCTGTCAATGGTCTTTTCCTGTCTTTGGTGAGAAACAAACACATCATGTCTACAGGACATCAACCAAAGAATAGTTTGAAGCCTATTTCCAGGTAATATTTTGCATTAACACTTGATTGCTAGTTATAACCAAATGGCGATTCTAATTTTTTATTCTTATTAATTCCATTTCTCCACTTAAATCCCTATTTGCCATCTATATACTCTCATTATTTTATTGCTTGACTCTTGGTAAAAATGAACACTAGGAACGATAGCTCTTTCCTTGACTGATTTTAAATAAATTAATCAGAATGGGTACTTGCATAATCTGGAAATCATATGCGTTGGGAATAAGCCTGTTGGAACTACTCATTAGGCAATTGTAAGTCATAAGTTTGCTGCTGAACCTGTGTCTGTTAAGGATGTAATGCTTCACAACTGACTGACTGGGGCCATTGTCTAGGTGGAGGTTTTGCTTTTGTGATTGTTATAATTTTATATATATTGGTATAAAATTATTGGTATTCAAACTATGACAGAATTCTAAAGATGTTTCTCAGCGTGCTTCAAATTCTTTGGGAAGCCAGGAGAGTTAATACTAAATATTTGATGAGGTACAATAATTTGAAAGAACTCTAATAAGCCCTTTTAGTCAAAGACTACATAATTCTGATGAGTATTTCTTGTTACTGGTTGACAGCATATGTATACTCATAAATTGGTTATTTTGTTGGAAACTTGAGCAGCAAGCATAGCTGTGCATATTGATGTTATTATACAAATCAAATATGTTTAAAGAGACTGGGTTAACAGAGTCTCAATATTAAAAGGCTATGGTTGACTCTTTCTCTTGGTCTTAATTTCTGTGTCTCTTTATAATTGATTAATGTTCATTGGTAGACTAAGTATGAATAATTTATGATTCACATAGCTGCTGGCTTATTAATTGTTTAATTTCAGAGAAAGTAACTATATATTAAGGAAACTCAAGTTGTCACTCTGAGTAGCCAAGTGAATTTATACAGTTTGTTACTGCATAGTCTAGAAATAGTGTATCAGACATACAGTCTGTATTTTCTACAGTGCTTAAAAAGAAGAATACTAATGAAATGTTGGAGAGATTTTTAAAAGTAAAAAGGAGCAAATGGCCTGATGTGTCTGAGGACTGCATGCTCTGAGTATTATTTCTCCTTTTTTTTTTTTTTACATTTTCTTCTGCTTCAATGATTCTATGTAATATGCCATAGAATCATTGTAAGATTCTATGTAATATTCAAAAATGAAGTTAATTGAATGATGCTTATTCTTTACAAGAAAACATAATTAAATATTGAAAAGAAAGTTGTAATTAACTTTATATATATTACAATTTCTTTGGAGTTTGAACAAATGATTTTGATTCTGAGAAATTAAAGGACATGATAAATTTGCCTTCTTTAGCAACATGCATGGAAAAAAACATTGCTGTCTCAAAAAATACACATTATTTTAATAATGGTAATAATTTCATTTGTCTCTACATTTATGCTGAAAACCAAAGGCTAGTATAAATTGCATTTAAACTGAATGTTAATGGCCTTCTCTTGTTTGGTAGAATATTTTCAAATATATCTAAAAGATGAAAATTTTAATCAGCATCAGTGATCTTAAATGAAGTTGAAGAATATAAATTTGAAACTTCTACTTTCCTGAAATACAACTTTTAATATTCAAGGACAGGGTTTTGAGAAATGGTCAATAAGATTGATTTTGTCTGTCTTTAAAATACTTTGTGTGACAAAAGTAAGCTTCACATTAGGAAGTGTGGACAATGATTTTCCTAAAAGTGAAATTTGTTTGGATCTGGGAGGAGAAGAAACAGAATAATTTTAATGACTTCTCCTATTCCTCATCTCTTTCATGCATTTAGTGCAAATCATTCCAGAGCTCTGGATGAGCTTCTGTAGAGATCACAGTGCAAAGTTGTGGAAAGGAGCCTGAACTTAATGTTGGCACTATGGTAAACATTTCCACTTTCATGTATCCCTTTAGAGAATTGGGAAGAAAGAGGAACACAAAATGCTATGTGATCTCATAAAATGAAAGAGAAATGAACAAAATAATATGTATATATTGAGAAAGGAGGGATGAACGGCATTTTAGTTATCTTGATTATATGTGAACAAGTCTCACTTTTCCTGGTAGACTGAGCTCCTTAAGGGCATGATGGCCTATGTATAATTCAGCTTTGTATAATATATTTTTTTCATGAATAAAATATGGTTATGGGCTGACAACCGCTTAGATCTCTACAATGTCATATCTAAATCATCTCTACTTCACCTAATGTTAGACTCACTTCCTCTTTCTTTACTCTCTTATATTACTGAATATCCTCAACCTCATGCATGCTCATCCCCTATACACATTAATTTAAAAATTAAGTCATTCTTATTACTCTTTGCTTAAGGCTAAACTTTGCATTGGTGTAATTGATTGCTTTCTCCAGAGCATTGCTCTATCATTTATTTTCTCTCTTACTTTGAGGACTTTTCCCTTTCTTATGGCTACTTCTCAGCTTAATAATAAGCTCACAGTCCAGCCACAATAAAACAATCAAGTGAAAAACTTAATATATTAGCCTACTTTGAGCAGGTGTCTTAGCTTCAGCTATTACTATATCTGTTCTCTTCCTGGATCATGTAAGCTTTTTAAGAAAGTCTTTACTCTGTCTCCATTTCCTTTCTTCACATTTGTTTCTCAATACATTGCAAATCGATTTTACTCTCATTGATCTCTAATAAAGATCACCCTTGACTTCTAGATTCTCAAATCCAATGGTTACTTTTTTAGCTCCATCTTCCGGGATCTCTTTGCTAAATGTGGCATTTTGATTCTTTCATTTTTAGAATTTCTTTTTAAATTATAAATGAGGCTCAAACAAATTTTTTTTCTTTTTTTTTTTTTTTTTTTTTGGTCAAGTGGGTATTTTATTTAGTTGCTCTAGATTTCTCCTTTGTGAGTTGTCTGCACATACCTTTTGTTCATTTTCTTATTGATTTGCAGTATATTTAGAATATATTTCAGATACTAATTTATTATTATTGATATGAATTGCAGATACCTTCTTCCAGGTCAATATAGGGTTTTTCCTCAAAGAACTGGTCACAGATTTTAACTTCTCTATTTCCTTTCTTTTCATTTCATCGTTTATGTCTTATATTTTTATTTCTTTCACTTTCTTAGACTTACCTTTTTTTTTAAACTGAGGTAAAATTGTATATAACATTGTAATAGTTTCAGGTGCAAAACAGAATAATTTTATATTTGTATATATTGCAGAGCAATTGCCACAATAGGTCGTTACCATCTGTCACCATATAATTGACCCCTTTCTCACATTTTGTCCACCCTCAACTCCTTCCTCTCTAACAGCCACTAAGTGAATATAAGTGAAATCATACAGTATTTGTCTTTCTCTGTCTGACTTATTTCACTTAGCATAATACCCTCAAGGTCCATTCATGTCACAAATGGCAAGATTTTCTTCTTTTTCATGGCTAAGTAGCATTTGAGGAACCTCCATACTATTTTCCATAGTAACTGCACCAATTTACATTTCCATTAACAATGTATGAAGGTCCCTTTTTCTCTGGATCCTCTCTAGCACTTGTTATTTCTTGTCTTTTTGATAACGGCCAATCTAACAGGTGTGAGGTGATGTATCATTGGGTCTTTGATTTGCATTTCCCTAATAATTAGGATGTTGATCATCCTATCATGTACCTGTTGGTCATCTGTATGTCTTCTTTGGAAAAATGTCTATTTAGATCTTCTGCCCATTTTTAATCAGATGATAATGGTTATTATTATTACAACTATTGACTTGTGCTCTTTGTATATTTTGGACACTAGCCCCTTCAGATACATGATATGTAAATATTTTCTTTCATTCAGTAGATTGCCTTCTTGTTTTGTTGATGGTTTCCTCTGTTGTGCAGATGTTTTTTAGTGATGTAGTCCCACACTTGTTTATTTTTGCTTTTGTTCCCTTTGCTTTTGGAGTTAGAGTTAAAAATTTAATGCTTTCATTCATTATTACTTTTATATGCTTCTTTCCATTTTCTTTATTCTTTTATGCTGAAACTTATATTAAAGAAATGTTGGAACTCATAATTTTATTCTTAGGCCTTTCAACTTCACTATTCTCTCTTTTTAAAATTTGTTATCTTTGTTCATTCCAGGTCATTTTCACATATTTATTTTCCAGGTAACTAATTTCACTTTGGCTGCTTCTAACTGGCTGCTGAACCAATTGACCATCATATTTTTTAAATTAAAATAACTGCATGTTTCAGTGTTTGAAAAACAGAACAATTCTATTTCATTCCTTCTAAAATACATTTGTTGTTTTATATGAAATCATAAAATGTTTACTTTTCATGCTTTAATTACTTTAAGGTTTTTCATTTTATGCAATCTCTATCATACTGTTTAATTTTCTGCAGTTCTTAGAGTCTAATCCTACCGTCCATTGCATCTGCTAATTATTTTTCATTAATTTGTGTTTCCTATTGTGTTTTGTTAGTTTATCTTGCTTATCTTCAATGAGACTGTGTGTGTATGTGGTTATCCTGAGCGTGTATATTCTATGATATGGGCTGGTTTTGTTTCTGTCATATGTCCCAGAGATATCAGAAGCCTGTGTTGGAACTCCCATGCCATGCTATTCACATGAATTTAATACCAAGATCATTTAAATTGCAAGTTTGTGATTAGGATCATTAGAATTAGGTTTCTTTGTTATACTCTTGTGTTACTAGGTAATTTCTTGTCTAGGTTACTTCTTCAGTTAAGATGTGGTATGCTCGGAACCCAGACTTAATATATTCCAACTCCATATCTGTCAAGATCCTGAGTTTTTTTTTCCTTTCACCATGTGGTCACTATATCTAAATGCCAAATTTATTATACTGACAAGGCCACTGCCCCTGTAACCTGGCATAGACAGACTAGGAAATCATGTACTAAATGGCCTTTTTTTTCTAGCCAAACATGTTGACATTTTTATTGTTCGTCTTTTGAATGTCTTTTTTTGATAAGTAGAAAAATTGAAGTAAAATTGACATAT